TCATTGATCATAAACAATTCCCTGGCAATCTGAGAAGGTTGAATGAGAAATAGAAAGGTATCGCATTTAGATATGCTGGCACGAAACTATCCTTCTTATCAGGAAAAAGATGAGAAGGCTGATCTTTCTGGATAACTTAGTCATCTCTATTCTCTTTCTCTTCCAGTGCTGACCTCGCATCTAGCAAATACTGCTGCCTTGGAACGATTAAGTTCAGGCAAATTATAAAATATTCAGTCATATGATATGCCATGATTTAACCACAGTTATGAGATATGCCATGATTTAAAACCCGAAAAAACCTAGGATACTAGAAAACAGAATGATTAAAATAGCATTTGCATAGGTTAACAACATAATAACCCATTTAAAATTCAGAAGAATGAAAATCGGCAAGCTTGTCTTAATGAAGGTGCAGAGGTGCATAGGATGAGTTAAGGTGTCAGAGTGCTGTATTCTTTCTATTCTAAAGTTCAGGAACGTTGCTAAAGAAAATGGTATGTTCCCGTCCAAGGCTGGCAATAGTTCTGGGCTGCCTTGGGGCCTGCTTGGTAGGCCAATAATATCCTGGACCAGGGACTTTCTGTACAGAATAAGAAACAAACAAGATCATTAAGAAATAAACGAAGGGAGGTTTCTATAACAAAACAACAATGCTAGTATTTACAGCTCGAATCTTGTTTAAATCGCTCTGTGGTTTGTTTATTTTTTTTTAATTATTTGCTCCAAACAAAAAACAAAAAACAGCCACCCTGCAAAGCACTTTTGAACTGGTACAGCTTGGATCTATCTATCTGGAATCAGTCTGAATTGAAGAAGATCATCTAGGAATATCCTGTTAATTTCACCATTGTTTAAAAATATTGATATAAGGAGTGTAAGACCTGGTTCCTAGCTATTCTGAATCCCCTACTCTTTTGGACCTGCCTGTCTAGAGCAGCATTTCATAACCTCAGCAATTTTAAGATGCTTGGACTTCACCCCCCCCCTCCCCGGCTTGTCTAAGATGTCTTTAGCAACCATAACCAAATTCAGGTTGATTAGAATTACAGTTCTTAGAATCATAGACTTGGAAACAGGCCATTCAAGCTATCAGGTCCAACTCTTTTCTCAGTGCAAGAATCCAAATTAAATTATACTAACATTATGGTATGACTCATATGATTAAAGATAATGGATTGTATTCATCTACCAAACTAAAATATAATATTACAAAAATCACAGACACGTGCCTAGTTTTCACAGTAGCTTTATGTTTGCTGCCAATGAATATTAGAAAGCAGGATGAATAAGCTTGCTACTGCAGGATGAATACTGCTAAATGAAATATTATACCGGTAATCCTACATTTACAACCACAACTGAGCCCAAAATTTATGTTGCAAAGTGCAATATTTATTAAGCAAGTTTTACCTCATTTTATAACCTTTCTTGCTACAGTTGTTAAATAAATCACTGAGTAACATGATAGTTAAGTGAATCTGGCTTCCCATTGACTTTCCTTGTCAGAAGATTGCAAAAGGTGAACACATGATGCCAGGACACTGCAACCATCATAAATATGAACCAATTGCCAAGCATCTGAATTTTGATCACATGACCATGGAGATGTTGCAACAGTTGTAAATATGAAACAGAGTCATTAAGTCATTTCTTCAGTGCCATTTGATCACTAAACAAATGGTTGTAAGCCAGGGACAAGCTGAAATGGACTAGAATGCCCTTATGTTTGGGCTTCTTCTTGATCTTCCAAGACTGAGCACACTTCCTTATTCCAGGTTGCCCAACTTCAGAAAAGATCCCAGGTATATTGTCAAATGTTCGGCATTTTCTTTGTGAAGGACTCTTGGCAAAGGATAGGCTGCACCTCACGCAAACAGAGGAAAATGTACTCGGAAAAAGACTGGCCCAACTCTTCAGGAGGGCTTTAAACTAAAATTGAGGGGGAAGGGTGATCAATCTTCAGAATCTCTAGAACCCAAAACCAATCAGAAATCCCAAGAAAACAAATCAAACGATGACATGGGCAGAGCTGAGAAAAAAGAAAAACTCAAACAACATTCAGGAGGTGCCGGAAACATACTCACACACAGGCACAAAAGCCTAAATGCTTATATACAAATGCTCAAAACTTGGGGAACAAACAGGGCGAACTAGAAGCAATAGTACACGAGAGAAGGTATAACATAGTTGGTATTACAGAAACCTGGTGGGACGAAGCCCATGAATAGAATGGACTGATGGATGGATACAAATTGTTCAAAAGAAACAGGTCTACAAAAAGAGAAGGAGGAGTTGCACTATATGTAAGACAACACTACATATCTAGAAAAACGCACATGATCAAAGATAAAATCTCTCCAAAATGCATATGGGTCAATATAAAAGAGGAAAAAAGTGACATTACCATAGATGTATATTACAGACCGCCCAACTAATCAGAAGAAATAGATCAGTGGTGGGATTCAAATATGTGAACAACCGGTTCTCTGTGTGGATGCTGCTTCTGGAAGTCCATTCTGGGCCTGGGCAACAAAAAATTAGCTACCGGTTCAGCCAAACTGGTGCGAACTAGCTGAATCTCACCACTGAAATAGATGAACTTTTTGCCAACCACTTAACAAATGTATGTAGGAAGCAAACCACAATAGTAATGGCAGACTTCAACTATCCAGATATCAACTGGGAGACAAACTCTGCAGCGAACGGGAGATCAAACAGATTCCTAACCAACTTAGCCGACGACTTTGTCATCCAAAAGGTGGAAGAGGAAATTAGATGTAAAGCCATACTGGACTTAATTCTAACTAATAGAGAAGAAGTGATAGAGGGAGTTGAAGTTGCCGGAATCTTGGGCAAAAGTGACCATGTCATACTGGAATTTAATATAACACAAACACTAGCAACAGAAAACAATCCAACCAGGGTCTTGAACTTCAAAAGAGCTGATTTTTAACAAACTCAGAGAGAACCTAGGAAAGATCCCATGGATGAAAATCCTAAAGCGGAAAACAACCCAAGCGTGGGAAACTCTGAAAAATGCGATCACAAAGGTTCAGACCAGCACAATACCACTGAAAAAGAAAAACAAGAAATTCAAGAAGAAACCAGCATGGCTTCACAAAGATCTCTCTGACAAACTGAAAGACAAAAAGGACAAATACAAAAAGTAGAAAGAGAGGCATATAACTAAGGCTGATTATCAACAGACAGCCAGAACATGTAAAGATGAAGTCAGGAAAGCAAAGGCTCAGAATGAACAAAGACTTGCAACAGAAATCATGGATAATAAAAAAGGGTTCTTCCAATATATTAACAAGAAAAAAGTCAAGGAAACTGTAGGCCCACTAAAGAGAGAAGATGTAAAGGAAATAACAGACAACAGGGAGAAAGCAGAGCTTCTTAACTCATACTTTTCATCAGTCTTCACACAAAAAGAAACCATAGCCCAACATACCAAAAAAACCACTGCAAAAGACAAATTAGAAACAAAAATTAAAATAAGCAAGAAAATGTTAAGAAAACACCTATCTGACCTTGATGAATATAAATCACCAGGACCTGACAAATTACATCCCAGAGTTCTGAAGAAGCAGGCTGATGTTATCTCAGAACCACTGCACCACATCTTTCAAAAATCCTGGAGCACAGGGGAAGTACCTGAGGTTTGGAAAAGGGCTGATGTGGTTTCCATCTTCAAAAAAGGGGAAAAAACAGACCCAGGAAACTACAGACCAATCAGTTTAACATCAATACCTGGAAAGACCCTAGAAAAGATAATCAAAAAACAGATCTGCAAACAACTAGAAGCAAACAAAGTTATAACTAGTAGCCAGCACGGGTTTGTTAAAAACAAATCATGCCAAACTAATCTTATTTCATTCTTAAACAAAGTGACTAATAGACCAGCAAAATACTGTGGACGTAGCATACTTAGACTTCAGTAAGGCATTTGATAAAGTAGACCACAACCTACTACTTAGTAAACTAAAAAAAGGTGGAATAGACAACATCACCACTAGATGGATATGTAGCTGGCTGGCAAACCTACTCAATGAGTAGTCCGCAGTGGCACTATATCCACATGGAGAGAAGTAAGCAGTGGAGTACCACAAGGTTCCGTCCTAGGCCTTCAATATCTTCATCAATGACTTAGATGAGGGAATTGAGGGGGAACTCATCAATTTGCAGGTGACACCAAACTGGCAGGAGTAGCCAACACCCTTGAAGATCAACTAAGGATCCCAAAAAATCTTGACAAACTTGAACAATGGGCCCTATACAACAAAATGAATTTCAATGTGGAGAAAAGCAAAGTTTTACATTTAGGCAAGAAAAATCAATGGTACAAGTACAGATTGGATGAGACTTGGCTTAAAAACAGTAACTGGGAGAGGAACCTTGGAGTCCTAGTGGACAATCACTTGACTATGAGCCAGCGGTGTGCAGCAGCAGCTAAAAAAGCTAATACAATCCTAGGTTGTATAAAGAGAGGCACAGAATCAAGATCACATGAGGTATTAGTACCGCTTTATAAAACCCTAGTAAGACCACATCTGGAATACTGCAGCCAATTTTGGTCACCATATCACAAAAAAGATATTGAGAGTTTGGAAAAAAATCAGAGAAGAGCAACTAAGATGATCAAATGCCTGGAGACTAAAAACATATGAAGAACGGCTGCAGGACTTGGGTTTGGCTAGTCTAAAGAAAAGAAGAAATAAGGGAGACATGATAGCAGTATTCCAGTATTTGAGGGGCTGCCACAAAGAAGAGAGGGCATCAGAGGGCAGGACAAGAAATAATGGTTGGAAACTGATCAAAGAGAGAAGCAACCTGGAATTAAGGAGAAACTTCCTGACAGTGAGGACAATTAACCAGTGGAACAGCTTGCCTCCAGAAATCATGAGCGCTCCATCACTGATGATTTTTAAGAAGAGGCTAGACAATCACTTGTCTGAGATGGTATAGGTTCTCCAGCTTGAGCAGGGGGCTGGACTAGAAGACTTCCAAGGTCCCTTCCAGCTCTATTCTATTCTATTCTATTCTATTCTATTCTATTCTATTCTATTCTATTCTATTCTATTCTATTCTATTCTATTCTATTCTAATACATCAGCCAACCGGTCTGGTCTTCTCCATAACTGGATTTTATTTCCATGGATGCAATTTAATAATACCTGAATCTAAGTAACATTTACTGTCTCCATGTTTTCCTTTATATCTTGAAAATACTAGGTTCCCCCCTCCCCCCACCCAAAAAAGAAAGCTGCAAATCCAAAGGCTGAATATGGAATGTCTCCAAGAAAGGCAGGAACCCCAAGTCAGCCCTATAGCTGCAAGCACAGTTTGAGCCATTTTCAATATTATACTCACAGTGTGGGCTGGCAATATTCGTGGTATTTTTGATATGAAGGACGATCGTATTGGAACTGGCTGGACATCCTTTATTTCATACTCACCTGGGCCTGGACCTTGTTTCTACAATGTAATAAAATGCTTCTTTTTAAAAAGTTCCATATGCAAAAATACTTTCATAACACTGTTATTCCTAGCATGCTGTAGTCTTAAAGACATTACTCTGCTAACATAATCAACAGTTTTACTCAATGCAAGACAGCTGCTCAATACTTGAAATACATGCAGCATATTTGATAGCATGGATAACATTTACAACATCTCAGTGAGTTATTTTATTTGTACTATTGGAGAATTGTGCCAAATAAGACTAATAATCATGAAACTAATACATATCCCACGCACCAATTAACATCTTCTGAAAATGTAATATAGAAACTGAAAATCTAACTTAAGATACCTAGTACTGATATCCATCCATCAATTATCTAAATAGCATTTTCTAATTCTGTGGTTCTCTAGTTATCCTCTAATATATGTACTTTATTTCAACCACATGATGACCACAAAAGTTAATGTAGAAAGGAAACATTTGGATTTTATGAATTTATGATTTTTGCAGGACCAACATCAGGGACTAATCAGGTTGGACTCAACAGTTTGCACTTTGCCTATGATCAGCGTATGCTATTCACATAGATTCAAGAACCTACATTGATTTATTGCCCAAGATTTGTTTGTTATTAAACTCCTATAACAACTGAATCTGTGTGTATCTAGAAAAATATTGGAACATTAGAAAATACTGGAACATATGTTCACACAAAGTGAACATTACATGTCTGTTTATCCTGAACTGTCCATTTACAAAATGTACAGGTATAATATAGGGGGTACCTTGCTCAATAGTAGTAACTGTGAGAGGGATCTCGGAGTCCTAGTGCACAATCATTTAAATATGAGTCAGCAGTGTGCTGCAGCTGCCAAAAAAGCCAACACAGTGCTAGGCTGCATTAACAGAGGGATAGAATCAAGATCACGTGAAGTATTAATACCACTTTACAATGCCTTGGTAAGGCCATACTTGGAATACTGCATCCAGTTTTGGTCACCATGATGTAAAAAAGATGTTGAGACTCTAGAAAGAGTACAGAGAAGAGCAACAAAGATAATTAGGGGACTGGAGGCTAAAACATATAAGGAACGGTTGCTGGAATTGGGTATGACTAGTTTAACAAAGAGAAGGACAAGGGGGAACATGATAGAAGTGTTCCAATATCTCAGGGGCTGCCACAAAGAAGAGGGAGTCAAGCTATTTTCCAAAGCACCTAAAGGCAGGACAAGAAGCAATGGATGGAAACTAACCAAAGAGAGAAGCAACCTAGAACTAAGGAGAAACTTCCTTACAGTTAGAACAATTAACCAGAGGAACAACCTGCCTCCAGAAGCTGTAAATGCTCCAACACTGGAAGTTTTTAAGAAGAAACTGGACAGCCATTTGTCCGAAATGGTATAGGGTTTCCTGCCTGAACAGGGGGTTGAACTAGATGACCTCCAAGGTCCCTTCCAACTTTATCATTATTATTATTATTATTATTATTATTATTATTATTATTATTATTATTAAATTGGCACCTCCTTTGGAAGAACTTAGATGGAGATCTTTCTTACTATATGACCCATTCTTAACTGGAGATACCAGAAACAGATCATGTATTGTTTATTAGTGAGCTATGAGTCTTTTGTACAACAGTTTAGGCAGAGTTGCAAAGCAGCAGTTTTGGGGAAGGAAAGATTTAGCTACAACTATATCGTCTCGGTACATGTCTGCTTATTTGCCGTAATATTTGATTGTATGGCTACCTATGGACAAGGAAACATCAAGAGTGACAATGCTGGCTGGGAAATTCTGGGGGTTGCCAAGGTTGATCCCAGATTGTGGGAGAAGCTTCAGAGTCTGTACTCTTGAAGATGGTAGGACAAGTCTCTGCAGCAAACACAGTGATGCCAAAATAATAACAAGTACAATTATGTAATCATGAAAATGACACAACTATGTAGTTGCATCAGGACATCTAATCAACTACATAAGTCATGGCTTTTGCATCATCACTGACATATTGTCATTTCCCCCTTCACCCCACAGATGCCCTTGTCCCCACCACACTGAGAGCTCATCTATGAGAATGTAGAAAGGGATGAAAACTGGAATGGTCCAGTTAATTCATCCCTGCTCCCTTCCTGGGCATAGGAAACCCAGAGGAAAAGAGCTGTTTTGTTTAGGAAAAGTAGGAAGAGCTAAAAGCTAAGTAACGCTGATTTGGACAGGTTTGCAAGCCCCTGGAGTAATTACAGGATATCAGCTTTTGCTTTGCAAAAAGAAATAATGATATTTTAAATGTAAAAACAACTGGCACAGATCTTTTGCTGACTCATTTGCTAACAAAGGCATTTGCACTAATCAATCTATTTCAACTACCTAGAGACAAAATGACACTAACTAGTAAAGGAATAATTTATTTATTGTTATAAGACAAGAAAATAAATCTGTCTATAGTTTGGAGATAGGTTAATATTTGTCTGTTGCTATTTCTGTGTTCCTATGTTAGCATCTGTCATGTTCCTTTGAGCATAACACTCCTGCTTTTGTACATATTTGATCTTCTGTGCAGGTGTGTTCATACCTTTTTCCACTGAGGCAACTCAGTTTTATTCTTTTTATTCAAGATACAAATTTAGGAGGATTTTCCATGCAAATATTTCTGAAATTTTCAAACAGGCATAATATTTTTTTAAAAAAGCAGCCAATGGGAAGTGAATCATAACGAATTGTCAAGGATTGTAATCACAGATAATTTAAGAGCTTTTGATAAGTATATATGTTGCATTTTAGGTAAAAAAAATCACGTAGCTATAATAAAAAGACAAAAGACAAAATAAAATTTTTCAGGACTATAATATTATAATAAACTATGAATAGGCCCATCAAAATATAATACAGGCTATCCTCAGTTAACGACAACAATTGGGGTCATAATTTCCATCGCTAAGTGACAAGGTCAAAAAGTGCAATGTCGTGTGACTGCATCACTTAGCAACACCAATTCCAGCACTTTCTCATTAAGTGAATCATTGCAAGTCATCAAGCAAGGACATCATGTGGTCACTATTTGCGACCTCCTGCCAGCTTCCCTATTGATTTTGCTTATAGGAAGCTGGCCAAGAAAGTCACAAATGGCAACATGACCATTAAACACTCTGGTGGCTGGAATTTTGAGAATCAATTGTAAGTACCATTCAATTCAGTGCCATCACAAGTTTGAACAGATGCTGAGCAAGTAATCTTTAAGTGAGGAGCACCTATATGTCAGCATAATGAGTACATATACAATGTATAAATTTTATTTTTATTCTTCTACCAGTTGTAGAAATATACAGTTTCTGATAATCAGCTTTTCCAAAATGGTGGCCCCCAGATGATTTTGAGATAAAAGCCTACCACACAATGATTTTAGCATACCTAAAATCTAAAATTTAAAATTAGAAGGAATATGCATTGGCAGAAAGAGCTGAAATACTTCCTGGGGTATATCTGCCACAGTTTTCCCCTCACTGTACAAAATAATCTTCACCTACCAGATATACCTAAAGAAGACCCAAAGCATGTAAAGCCAAGGGTTGAGGAAGTCTGTTAAAACAGTACTTTGGCTCAAAGAAAAGAGAGATCCACATATATTCTCTTTATTATTGATTTTACGTTCTTATATTAATAAATCTAGTAATTCTTTGGATTTTTCCGGTCCACATATAGCGATCCCAACATTCCTCTATTTAAAAAATACTTTTTTTAAAAGTGCCATTTTTTTTTCTTCAGAGTCCACCTTGGAACATGTTTCAGGAGAAAAGAATGGGAAATAGTGACTCAATAGAACCTCAGTAAACTTGAATAAATTTCATCTCTAAAAATAAAATAAAATTAAGAAACAGTGGTTAAATGTTGGTTTGCTTTGCATCCTAAACTATCTTCCTGCTATACCTGAGAAAGAAACTACAAACTGAAGTTCATTGCAACGCTGTCTCTTTATGCAGAATCTCCATCCTGTCCATGCCTATCCCAAAACAATGGTCATTTATTTCCAATACAGTGAACAACACATGCAAAATCATCCTTTGAGCATCAATAGCTGAGCAGCCTTAGTTTTCGCCTGCAAAGAACACCCAGGTTGCAGCTGTTCCAAGACAGGCAAACACTAAGACGTCAGTTCCAGTTCATTTGTTGCAAAATATTGGATAGCAGCTATATCAATAACTCATTTAAATAGTAGTTGTTTACATGGAACGGTTCTTCTGTCACAAGAGGCCACCTGGAACAAGGTCATTAATGAGATCCTCAAGGATTTTCAAATGAAAGGTTAACATCTATTTAAAAGCCAAAAAAAATCCTCAGACAATTCATATTATACCTAGCTTGCTGCTGCTCTTACAGAATGAATTCTGGTGAGCTACTGTAAAAAAAATTATGATCCTTCAAAAATGTTAACCTGATCTGGAAAAATAGAAGAATTAGGCTCTTGAAGTTAAATTTGCCCTCTTATTTTTCCAAGGCTTATGACCTGGCTGATATCTCAGAATTAGCCATGTATTTGAAAAAAAATAGAGGCATTTAAATCCTAATCCAAACAATAACAAAAACAGTGCTAGGTTGCATTTTTTTAAAAAAAAAATATCATACAACCAAGCATAACTTTCTTGAAAGGAAAAAAGTGAATCACATCTCCCAAGGAAGAGGCCTAGCCAATGAAAAATCCAGTAAGTGTTTTAAAGCTTGCCAACAACATGTTTCCAATTACATAAACACTAAGGTGATCATGCTTCTCCCCAATTGCACCCTTTTGCCTTGATTCACAAGTTCAAAATGGTTCTCCAGCTTGAACAGGGGGCTGGACTAGAAGACCACCAAGGTCCCTTCCAGCTCTATTCTATTCTAAAAATAGGGTCACTTCAACCAGAGTAATGGTTTAGAACTCAGTTGATAGGTGGTAAAGTTGATGTAGATGCAGAAGTCAGAGAATGGGTTGAGAAAGAACCTGCTTTTCAGAGGGTATGTTTTTACACCTTTTCTCTTGCTGTTGCCTCAGGGTGAAAGAGTATTATGTTCTGAAACCATACAAAGGTGTACCAAACCTATTTATAGGATACAAAATCGAGGTGGTTTTGCACACAAGCAGCAACTGACTTTCTAACTTCTTTATTGCAAGGCAGAAAAAAATTGTGATTCCAAGCAATCAGATAAATCCAGCTATTAAACTTGGAATTGAAAGCATAAAAGATGTTGTTGTGACATGATAAAGGGGGGGGGGGAATTATACACATTTTCCTCAGTTTTCAACGAACAAAAGTTTGCAAGGCCTTTAGAAGTACATAGTTTCACTCAATATTGTATAGACACGTTGCCTCATCTCAAGGAGGTGGGTGTTCATGAGAAGGTATTCATGCGTGTTTAACTAAGTAGACAGAGCTCATATCCCAAGGAAGTATCCTGATTAAGCAGCAGGATCTTCTCTTGCATCTGACTCTCTGCATATATATTTATGTGCATGGAGAAGTCCTTCCTATCAAATCTAATAGATATGTCAGAGAAGGGAGGGAAGAGGCATAAATCCACTGGAGTTGGGAAGCTATAACAAATTTGAATAGCAATAGCACTTAGTACTTAGAGTTATATACCACTTCATAGTGTTTTACAGCCTTCTCTAAATGGTTTACAAAGTCAGCATATTGCCTACAATTCTTTTACCGACCTCGGAAGGATGGAAGGCTAAGTCAACCTTGAGCCAGTCAGAATCAGTGAGCAGTGAGTTAGCCGGCAGTATTCCATTCTAACCACTGCACCACTATGGCTCATAAATAAATAAGTGATAGCCTCTGTGCAGTTATTCAGTGCTGAGTGGGATGGAAAAAAGTGAGGAAAGTGCAATTCCCATCAACAGAATCTAAAGTGAGGCTGTATCCTGTTTATTTACCAAATCCAGGTTTAGTATAAAAGTAGAATTTTTCAATTTTTTGAGGGAAAAAAATGAAAGATATCAGTTTATATTACACTATAATGGATATGTTTTGTGGTCCGTACCTCTCAGACATCCTTTACAGCCTAATGGCTCAACTGGTAAAAGATTCTGATTTGGTGGCCTGCCAAAACGTAGATCATAAATTTAGATCATTTTGCTAAATCAAGGCTGCATAAGCTATTTATGTGGCACATATGGTAGGTTTTAGATGGTGTGTTGGCAGATGGCCAGGCCCAAGAATAAAGAAGAGGAGGGAAGAACAAAAGTTAAAATGGATTTATTTAGTGTAATAGCAAATAAATGTAATTAAAATGACAACTATAGGCAATAAAATTAAACCTATGGATCCATCCATATAATATACAAGGGGCAACATCAGTTTAATGGCACTTAATGAGTAAATCAATCATATATCATTTACCTGTTCATTAATGACAAGGGAGAAATGTACCATAGTTTTAAGGTACTACTTACAACCATGGACCACACATTGCACCTCCCTTTTTAGCATGTATGTGATTATGATAAAATTGATAAGGTTTGATCACAGTTGCCATCGTGCCTTTTTAAACCAAGGATAATGGTCAGCAAATATTTGAAGGGACACATTGCCTTTGCTCCCAGCAACTTCCCTTTCTTCTTTGACATGTATGAATACATGTGGTATAAAAACCAAACAAACTTCAAGAGTTAGAAAAAGACAAGGATTACACTGGAGGGCACCATGAAACTTTGAAAGCCTCTTTAAGTTATTGATCATCCCCCCAAAACTCAATATAATGTAGTTCCTATTGGCATATAAAAGCTGCAAGCTCTCCTTCCTCTACCATCATTCCAGCTACATGTTAAAAAAAAACAATAGAAAATCACAAGTGACCTCAAAAAAAGCATACCTTAGATAATAAATGCACCCCTGGAGAATTGTGGTTCATGAAAGCATAATATTATTAATCATGGACCAGCTGGGGCCAAAATTAATAACAAAGAGGAAGAAAACAGTATCATCTGAAATTTCCACCCAAAGAAGCTCATTTTCTACATTCCAACAGCCTGTCTGGATTCCTTCTCAATAGCTCAGCTCTTCCTTTCTATAGTGCAGATTTGATGGCTAATTTCAGCAAAATATGCCTTTTTTTCAGCTCGGCTATAAAAGGTACATGGAAATCACTGTCATAAACTGTCATTTCTGCGCATGAACATGTGTTAGGAGCAACGGAACTGTCACATTCTCCCCCCCCCCCGTCCTTTGTGGTACAACGCTTTCACTTGATAACACATTTTCACAGAAAAATATGAAGTGGGGAAACACAACATTGCTTTGTAATAGAGGGAAAAAATCAGACAAATTTAATTACAAAACTACCTCAGAACAACGGAGATAACATTCTTGCTAGGCATCATAACTAATACTTACAGTAATGTGTTTTTATAAACCTCTTCTCTAAATCCACTCTCATTGATTTGACAATCTGACCATTAAATCATTAAAAAGTCACAATGCATTAAATCAATGGACAATCTAGTCCAGCCTTCTATCACTCAATTCCGGCCATCCCCAGGCATATAGGAAACCATCACGAGTACCAATACTGTTGTTTTACAGATGCTTCACAGCATTTTGGAGCAGAAAAAGCCAGCTAGATACAGAACAGGTACTTTTGATTAAATGCCCATCAATCCCGACATATGGCCAAACCTGCTTGCCCATTACTGAATTGTAAGCTTCAAGAAGCACCTTAACTCAGAGCTGTTGGCAACACCTATGCATACTACCTTTCTCATTCTACTCTTTAAGTCAGAGAACCACTGTCATCATGCTACTTAAAAGCAGCAAATTCCACAAAGAAATTAAGATCTGGATGAAGTGTTTCTTTTCCAGCAATGAAGGACCTATTTCCTAACGTCCCTACTCTTGTAACAGAAAACTGTTGCCCAAGTCTTCACATTACAAATCAATTGAAATTTGAAGTTTTGGGAATTTCAATTAATTGTTACTTTATTAAATTCTATCTATTGTCATTATTACTGCTGCTCCTGATTATTTTTTCTTCTTTTTACGATCCTTTAATCCCTTTATTTTGGGTGGAGTTGGAGCGACTGAATGGAGCTGAGCGTTTACTGGCCGTTTACTGGCGTTTACTCCATGATGCCTGCATGGAGTTCACAGCAGATATTTTCTCTTTGCACCCTGATAAACATCTGCTGTTGCCTAGGATAGAACTCTGAACCTTCCGAGTGGGAGGTGAGCATCTTCACCTCTAGGCCACTGTACTGCTCTGCTCCTTGTTATTAACTTCTCTATAATATCATCGCCTATGCTGATTTTTCTGTTGTTTTTTTTTATATCTTTTTTTTATTCATGCACCAACAAAGAACCCATTATCAATCTCTGTTGGGGTACAATCTCTGTTGCCCCCCCCCTTCCTAGCTAGTACAGCCTAATCACTATGCTCAGGTTACTTGATATTCTTTTTGTGAAGCTACCCTTGTGTGTGTGTTTCCTCCTACTAGGTCTGGAAGCTGCCAGTGATGCAGAATGCTAAGAGGAGTGCTTAGCCATGTGCATATCTCAAAAGAGCTGACATAATTAACCCAGCTGCCAACTGGCTATTGACAGTTCAGGATCCAGCAGATCCACTTTTCTATTTCTCCGGGATTTTCAGAGATCTTGCTAGCTACGGTACGCTGCATTTCAAAGATGATTGGCATTCCAGGATTACTCAAGAATAAGATGCCCCTTGGCCTCTGGAATGCTGTTACGTATGAATATTTGCTTTTCACCTCCACTTTTCTAATATGGGTTTTCTATTAAATGTAACCATTTTCTGAATACTTTCATTGCTGTATTTTTTAAAACAATTCTAAGTACATGCATTACATTCAGATGTTTTTAAACATTAGGCTATGAAGCAAAAAGATGTGGGGGGGAAAAAACCCAGCATCTTTCTAAATTCATTTAATACAGAATTTGGAAACTGAAGTGAACTTTGATCAGATTACAAAATGTAAAACGCCATTAAGCACATTTTTCTTCCTATCATAAACACCGGGAAGAGGACTTGAGAGGCTCATTCAGCCACCACAGGTATATAGTTTAAGGTCTTCTATATAATTCTGACTGTGCTAAAATGACAGCGTTTCAAGAATATGATTGATAGATCTTTTGAAGAGATTCATATGGTCTATGCTCCTATCTGTTCTTTCAGGATCGAGTCATTTATCAAGATTATGGTAGGGTGACTCATAGGCTCTCCATCTGATACACTTACTTAATATTGATGGAAGTTCTCACTACTTCCTCATTGCTTTGGCTCCTGAATCTGGGTATTATTAACTGGGGAACAGATGCATCAATAACGTCAGCTTGCTTGTTCCTCCAATCCATATTTGGACAATTGCAATCAACACATCTGTCAAGTATGAAAGACATGACCCTAGATACCTTATAATGAAAATGTTCAAGCTGGAGTTTTCTACATGGATTCTCCTGCTCAAGAACTTATGTTACTCAGTTGGGAATATGTGCTTTTGTAGTATGGTGACTGGTCCATGGAAACACTGGCTGTCCAGTGCAAGGACTGAGATGATATTACACAGATGTCAGTTGGAAGTGCAGTAAAACTTACCAGGGAAGATGAATACCCTGGCTTTATAACTTCTTACATATATAATAGATTCTTACTATTATCTTGCAGAATAAAACTTTTGGATTGGCCAGGATTTACATAAACATAGTACTACCAATCTGATTAGTAAACTAGTAGTGATGATTCAGTGTTAGAATGCTTATGGGTTTAATGGTTTCAATATGACTTTAGCATATAGGTTTAGCATATATTTAACATTGATGATGTTACCAAGTTTGGTAATAAAACATCTGCAAGAAAACAACCAAGCTCAGAGAGCATCAAAGTTCAACCCTGAGCTATAAATATTCTCTTCTATGCATATATAGACTAAAAAATCTAGATGATCATTAGACGGCAGCTAAGAAATACAAAAAAATACAAGTTTCCTGCCATCTAATAGTTATCAACAGTTTTGCAGCCCCAACATGGTGACTGTAGCATAAATAGTAACTTTTTGACAAGAGCACAACTTATTTCTAGATAAAGACAAAATCATGTTTTTGGAGCAATCACTTCATTGAAAAGAGTAATCCATAAAGTCAGAAAGGAAAATGTTCTTATTTCTTTATTTTGTTACTTAAGAAACTAGAATTCTACTGGGCAAGTGTAGCAATTACAATATTCCATCACTTATTTTTCAAGTGGAGAAATGGCTACTGGGTTATCACTTAGAAATCTCTGCATGTAGACATGTAGATATGATTACAAATGAGTAATTTGAATAAATGAGCAGGTTACTGGGTCCGTGGACCAAATCCATGCCTGTTTGGAGCCTCTGTGCACATGGAACTCATAGAATGCCATGGTTTACTGAGCAGCTCAGTAACACAAGCTGAAGTGACACAAGAGCTTCCTAGAGCACCACCGGAGGAAGACAAAGAGCAAGGCCAACCAATATAAGAGCCTATATTAGAACTTACTTTGTGTTGATAAGTGTAGCGAAGCATATTTACTTCTATGCCCTTATTGCATCTTCAAATATCTATTCAGTAACTTTCTTTCAGATGACCAGATCCCTATTGGGTAAGGAGGAGCCAGAGAACACCTTACCCATGTGTATTCCAATGCATAATGATGGCTGCCATCTTGATTTTTTTTTGGCTTATGTGAAAAAAGGGTAGGGCATCAATTGCATGGTTATGGACAGCCTCTTGGCTTTTTAGGCTCACCTCCCTGCAGCTGGCAGAAATGGTTGAAACTGACTGACCTGGATGACATGCTACTGGCAGGTACAAATATGTCAGAGGGGTTAGCCATGTCATGCTAACATGGCCACCGTATGATATTCATTCATTTGTTCTCTAACCCTCTTAGTAAATTTCCATTCTTCTTTCTATCAGTGTGCTCCACTTTCTTTGCATAAATGGTATACAATTGTTTCCTGTCATTTTTTATTAACAGTTTTCCAGGGGAGTTCCTGAATGGAAGAGAATTGCTGGAAGGCAGCAGCACCTGATTCGGTCCTTTGTGACTGCACTGGCCAAAAAGAAAGAGGAAGAGAAGAGGATGCAGCAAGAAGAGAAAGAGGAAGTATCTGTGTGAAGCAGATGCAATTGTCATGTAGGTCAATTCTCCAATGGAGAGGCAAAGTGAGTTCATTTTTCTGACATGTCTCAAGAAAAAGATTTTTTTTTTTAGAAAAAATGAATTTCTGGCCTTTATTTACATTTCTATAATACCAACCCTCAGTGGGCCCTGTAATTAAACTGGGATCCATTGGATGGGGGGAAGGACAGTAACAAAACTCAAGGTGGCACCACAAGAGTGGGTGCAATGTTTACAGCTGTAGGGCGAGTTCTGAAAAATCTACTGTAACTATTCCCAAAAAAGCTAAATGTTAAAGAGTTGGGAAGGGAAAGTATTAACGGTTTATTTTGAAGAAAAGAAATATTTAAGAGTGGATTTTTTTTCTTCTTTGCATGAAACCCCAACATTTTATAGTCATTAATCAATAGACCTTACCAGAGGAAAAATGGGGTGTCTTTGAACTGCAGATCGAAACATATAGCTCCTACATAGAATAAGGAGAGAAAATAAAATTATTTTAGCATTTAGGTTCTTTTGAAATAACAGTAGTTTCAGTAAAATTGGAGATATTAGTTTTATCTACATGTCAATGAAGACAAGTCTTCCTCTTTGTCAATGTACAGAACATAGGCTCCTATGCCCCTGAAAACAATCCACCCTATGCAAAAGAACCCTGGAATGGCCTGCACCAACCTCATTCCCAGTTCAGTCTTCTTCAAAACCCTTTTCTGGAAGGTCTGCTTTGCACTGTTAGTGGTCCTCTCCCAAAAGGCTAAAACTGAGAGCTGCTATGTTGTAAAGGTTTGAATCTTGTACCAACTTAAGAAGATCCAAGTTCAAAACATCTTCTTCTGCTAAACTTGTTTGTGTGTCGGGGGGGGGGAATTATGTAAGATATGAATTGTGTCTGTGTTTCTATGTAAGTGTCTGAAACATTTTGTTCAGGAGGCCTGAATGATTTTTAAACTGAATTTCAATTTGTACATTTTTTATTTCTAGTTGTTTTAATAGTATTATATTTTACTGTTTTAATGACTAGTTTTTATTCATTGGTTTTAATTTGAGAGACCCACTACCAGGAACCACTCAAAAGTATTGAAATCAGTAAAACTAAAGTTATTTTAACCCCATTTAACTCCACCAGCATATTTCAAGGCTATTGACCTGTAACTCTTTTCTCACCATCCAGCTGAAGTCAAGTGGAGGGGAAGAATGACTAAGGCCTTCCTAGAATAGCACTGAGAATCAAAGGAAGGTTCAAGCCTACAATCCGAGAGAGTAAGTTTAACTGATTGTTGCAGGCTACATAGATACACTATAATTTCATAAAATTATATACAATTGACATATGTGCATGTCATTTTTTTAAAAAACACACACATTAAATTTCATTCCTTGATCTTTCATCCACAAAAAAGTCTGGCCTTAATAATATGCCAAAATAGTTGGAAATCCAAGGCACAGCATTGCTGCAGAAATGTCAGTGATTATTCTAGGACCAACCCTTCCTCCTTGTAGTGAGTCTACAATCCAATTTTATTTCAAACATGCCTTTGAAACATCTGTATTTTTCCCAGCTATTTATATAGCGGTGCAATTTATTTGTCCAACTCATCACAGCAAGGTGAACAGAATAAGACAAGGATAAACAACCAATTGTATGTGAGATGTTTGAATGACACTTTCCCTAATTCAACCACTAGCCCTTCTGGGTGGACTTATGACAATTACAGTCTCAGAAATCTGAAAGGCAACATGTTGCCTTGACCTGTAACTGACCAGCCTGGCAAGATAAACAGTTGTTTGACTACTTCTTTGTTGTCTTGCCACTTCTTTTAGGACCTATCTCCTGCTGACTGTTTGCATCACCCTCAGAGAAAATGGAAGGTACCTCTCTAATAAGGAAGGATCTCGAAAAAGTCTAATTGTTCATGGAAATCAGCAAGAATCTATTCTGGCCTCTGACCACAATGTTCTGGCTTCAGGCAAGGGCTATATTACTGCTTGGAAATATAGCCAAATTAAAAAATATTAAGATTTTACATGCCACAATAATCTGTTTAAAAAGCAAACAAGATTAGAAAGTATACTTACTTAGTAGGAAAAGTAGGAACTGGATGAGGGAAAAGATCATATTGTCCAGGATCAGTGTTTATATTCTATGGGGAAATCAAAAGCACAATGTATAAGAATTTAAGCTTTGTTTTGTAGCCTAATTTATTGATCAGCTTTTCCAAGAGATCAAATCTGCCTTGTCCTGCCTTGGCTTGGCATGGCTGAAATAAACTAATGGACTGCTGTACTTGATTGCAGATGTAAAGTCACTTTTCCCTTTATCTTTAAACCCTCTTTGCAAATTGGAAACTAAGAAGCCAGTCTATGACCAGATTTTTTTTTTCCCCTCTAAGGTCCTAATTTTCTATTTGCAAATAGGTTTTACTTACACATCTTTAGGTAACGTTTACTTACTTTTAGTTACTACCATACTGAGTAGAGGGAGGTATTCACCATATGCAATCAGAAATGCTACAATTCATTCTACCATCTGAACATTTTATATTTCTGTTTTTGGTGCCTTGAACCTCTTAAGATGCCACAAGATTCTTCATTACTTTGACTCTTCGAATGTTGATTAGGAATGAACAAGCTTGCTGTGTAGAATCTTATTATGTATTTTATAAACTGCACTGGTTACCAGTTTGCTTCCAATTATCAATTATAAGCTGTTTTGCTCTTCTGTTGTTTGGGTGATTTCCTTTCTGCTCTGATAATGAAAGTTGTTTTCAGCTAGATGCTGTTGGACTACATCAGCTGCCTCACCAATTAGCAATTTGAAAGTTGTTGCTAAGCAGTTAGTTGGACTGTAGTTGCCTGATGCTGCTCCTTTTGTGGGATCTTTCATTATCAGTTGTTAACCAATCTTCAATTTCACCTTCTTGGAACATGTTGTTAAACAGCTTGGCAACAAGTGACAATAAGACCAGTCAAAATATTTCAACCAAAAAATATGCAGTTTATCTTCATGCAATGCTGAGCAATTCTTGATCTTCTTTGCCCTTATCTTCACCATTTCTGTTGTTATTACAATTTCTTTCATTTCAACTTCTTTTTTATTCTTATCCACCTCCTTTATCCAAACTGCATTCTTGTTTATTTCTTTGGGTTGTCCCATATCTGTGCCCAGAACTAAACTGTTTCTTCTTTGTCAGGTATTGATTGGCTCGCTGCAGTTTCTCCATTGATGGACTGGTAGAAATATTTCTGATTTGACTGAAATCGGAGATTCTGTTTGAACTTCATATCTGCTGATCTCCTGTGTTTCCTTACAGTTCCTTCTTTTTAGGTGATATTTCTTGATCAGGTGGTTTTTTTTTTTTTTTTGTCTTCTTGTTCTTTATTTTTCTTTCAGCTGTTGTAGCTTGCTTGCATCTGATATTAGCATGCTGATCTTATTTTCCAGCCTGGCCTTCTATTTTGTTAGTGCACTGTTTGGCTTTTTTTCTTATTTGTTGATTTTGCAGCCCAAATATTCAGTTATAACTGCATCTGTACTATACATTAGTTGGTTTGGTTCTTGTAGTGAGTAATTGCTCATATTTGATATTACAATATTGGCATTTAAAACTTGTGCTAATTGTTTCTTTGTAATAAACTTCAATACAGACAAACTTATTATGTTGTGTCATTTATTCTTTGTTCCAGTTCCTCTTGCTTTTTAATTAGAGGACTTTGTCTTTCTGAGGAGAAGGCAGATGAAAAGATGCCTGGTTTGGGAATGAAAACAACTCAATAGCTATGCTGGTTCCTCTACTGCCAACTTTACCTGGTTTCCATCTACCATTTAACTACTTCTGGCAAGGCTTTGATTTCTTTGCCCTGGATAGAACTTTGTAATTCTTCCAATTCTACTTCTGTGAGTACCTTAGTTTGTATTATAAATAGACATTGATCCACTATCCTTTGTTCTATTTTTTCTGAAACCTTGTCGACCTGGACAATGACTGATTTGTTATAAGTTTCTGTAAATTATGTCTCACCATATTTTTTTATGAGAAAGACATTCTTTGTCTGGCCCTCTGATGAGAAGAGAACTTTCAGCATAGCTCTCATTCTCCTCAGAGCACACAAACCCCACAACCATATCAAGGCAATGCCTCAGTGGACATTATTATTATTATTATTTGTTTGTTGCATTGCCAGCCAGATTTTTAGATTGGACTATTATTATTATTTTTTATTCTAAGATGATGGTGATAACCTCTTTTGAGATTCTCCATTCCATTTCTAACTCTCTCTGATTTTCCATTCCCTGCTCCTCATTCATTGGCCATTGAGCCCGCTTGGAAGGACTTGCCATTGGGATATAAGACAGGATCAGGATATTAATGGTAGCCCCTGAGATATCCAAAACCATATTTTGGCTATGTACCTTTTCCTTTAAAATAGCAATTATTGTTACAGAACCCCATTCCTAACTTAATTTTACCTTATCTCTGTTGATTGGATAGTTGCTTTGCCTTGAAGTACTCTTAAAGGAATAAGTAGCAGGTCTTTTCTCTGCCAATTCCACAAATGAAGGAGGATAGTACTTGAAAGCATTTTGCAAGGTCAGATCAGGTAATTGCTCATAGATGGATGCTCTCTTTCTCCCTTCACCTTTAAAATTATAGGTTGCCTTCACTGGGTTCAACTGAGCTTCTTCAAGAAAACCTCGTACAGGATAAAACCCTGGGATTGGGGTTGGCTAGTAGAGAGAAACAAAGTATATATGACATGTTTTGCATATCTGAAGATATAAATATGGATTTCAGCAGTGTCTTTAAGCAGATCATTATGTATCTTTTTTTTTTGCTGAAATAGATCAAATGTGTGAACTTTAACTCCCAAAATTCTTCAGCGTATCTTGCTGAGATTGTGAAACACTGGGCTAGACTGACCAATCTTGGTGCCCCAGGGAAATTAACATAACCTGCGTGTAGGTAATGGTCCTCTTGCAGGAAATAATAGCAAATCTTCCAAAAGACAGTTTAATTGGGGACATGTTTCACTTATGGGCTAATAATTCGTTTAGATAGCCCAACACCTCTTATTTCATTGCATTTCTTTTAATAATTCAAGGACTTAACACAGAGAAATCTGGTGTCTAAATGTTAATGTTAAATATTCAGATGTCCTACAGTATTTGTGGCTCAATTCAAATATATGACTTAGAAGACAAGGGAAATATTTTTATTCAGTTATTTTCAGAAATCAGTCATCATCCAGATCAACAAGGAATCAGAAATAACAGAACAGAGGCTAGTAGATCAATGTTGATTTATAATGTAAAATAAAGCATTCACAGAAGTAGAATTAGAAGAACTGCAAAGGTCTATCCAGGCCAAAAAAATCAAAAGCTTGCGGGAAGTAGCTCAGACCTTAGAGGGAAACCTGGGGAAGTTTATTCTCACATTAATTCTTTTTTATATATAACTGGGCCACAGGCTGTAAACTACACAATCTCTGTGAAAGGTGTTCTGCAAAGGGTGGGATGAAGAGAGGCAAGTCTGTTATTTTCAATGATTCATAGAAGTATACAGATTATAAGAGGAGCCATACTAGTGCATCTCAAGAACTAATTAGTACAACATTCTGTGCTCATAGAACTAGATACCTCCGGGAATATGACTGCAATAGCATTTATGAGTATAATAGTATTTTCAATAGGCTAAGAATAATTCTCAATTGGCTTGTCTTAACTCATGCCTTCCATATATATTAGGCTACAATTATCAAAATTTCAAACTAATGTGACCAGTTTTGGAAATTATAGGATGTCAGGTTGGAGAAGGCTGTTCTAAAGTATCACTTGATATCCCTAAATTCTACTTTATTTAAGAATGAGAATGCGAAACTATTAAATAATCTCACTTGTCTTAATTGCACTAGTTTCCAAATTGGAACATAATACAATAACATGCAATATTTTGGTAACTATACAAATTTAATAAATAAATTTTATGCTTGTAAATTAAGAACACAAGAATAAATAGATATCACATTACATACCCTTAGTGATTCTCTCCACCATGTATCTCTTCTTTGATATGGTATTTTTTCATGTTCTCCTACCTAGAAAAAAAAATCAGGATTGTTAAAGAATGACTTTAAGTGTAAGAAAGCGTCTTAATATTTATACAGAAAAAAATAAAAATGGTTTCATATTTAGAATAGCAGTAGATTTAGTACCTAACCTAATAGGGCTGATCACTGAAGCAAGGGGACAATCTGATCAGAACTTAAATGGAGGTCAACCAGGAAGTCAAGGGCTGTAGTGCTAGTTTAAGAACTTGAAAAACAGCCTGAAGAAGAACTTGGCAGAATGCTTCCATACTGCCAAGAAAAGTAGAAGGATGTCTCCAGGAAGACACTAGGAGTCTCACTTGAGGAAATGTTTAGTTTTACCATACACTTAAAATGTTTAATCTTAGAAGAGAAAATATAATGAGAGCTGCAGTTGAAATAAGATAGCTGTAGAACATTTACTATGGAATGTTTGCTTGATTTACTGCCCAAGATGCTGCCAACCATGCTCTCCCTCTGGGGTTTTTAAGTGGATTATTGCATCAAATCAGCAATAGTTGTCTATGACATCACAATCCACATGCTAAGGATTTGAGCATTCTTACTTAGAAGAAGATACAAGCATCTGGGAACAAAATGTAGCTCAGATGAAGAATTGATACAAGATTTTAAGAATGGGTTTTTGCTTTCAGACTGAGAAATATGTATTTGTTTGTAAACTCCCCTAAAAGGAGTTTGTGCAGGGTCTTTTCTTCATCAAGCTGTGAAAAATGTCAATCAGAAGCAAGAGATGAGTAAAAAAAAAATCTGTCTGTTCACTAGGACAAGCAAATTATCCCTCCCCAATGACCTTCTAAAATGAGACAAATTGAATATATTTAAACCCTGTTCTGTCTAGTCCTAAGGAACCCTGTTTTGTTCTGTTATTTTAGCAAGTTGGTTGGCTTGCAAGCTCTCTTAAGATATGTAGATAAATACACTGATGCCACAGCATGCTTAGTCCAATCAGAAATTAGCCCATTCACACCGGCCCACCTTTCTGGCACCGGCCCACCTTTCTGGCACCATGTCGACACACTAAGAGGTCCCACTCTTTCTCCAAAAGGTTTCTGTTATTCCACAATCCTTTCTCAGAAGATTATTGAGGTTTTATGACATCTCTAACCATTTCCCATTTGCCAGAAACAGGGCAATGAGTGAAACTTGAGCTAGGGCTGTAAAATATCAGATGTCCATAGTATGGCAGCAGAGTTTTTTAGTGTATCTCTTTGCTACCACCTTGTGATTGTTGGAGTATTTACAAAGCACTGGCTTTGGGAACTGCAGCAAATGTGTATTTTAGAGGTATGTTATGTGCTATTAGGACTGACAGTGATTTTGATAATAGAAAAGCTTGCTTTCTCGAGCACTATTTTCCTCATGGAGGGAAATGTTGTAAACTATGTAGACATGTGAAGGATTTGGATGAATATTATAGGGTGTGATGACAAAATTTTTTAAAAAGATAATAACGACAACGGGAGATTTCACTTTGCTAAGAGTCAGAGATCCCCAAAATGTTATCATCTCTTGGCAAAGTCATTTGTTAGAAGCACAAAGAAGGAACAAGGAGGAGGAGTCTGCTATACCACACATAAACCTTACCAACAGAAGGAATTACTTGAAGAAATGAAGGTGACCAGAAATGTGAGAAAATGTCCTTGTTATCCTTGAATTTATGCTATCAAAGATAGAGAGAACACTTGCATACTAGATTTTAGAAAAGTGGATTTTGGTGAATTCATCCAGTGGCTTAACATTCTGAAGGAGAAAACTTTCTGTGAAGGGTGTGAAATTCTGAAAAAAGGGCTATTGAAGGTGTAATTGCAAACAGTGGCAATTAAAATGGGAGAGATCTAAAGACACCAGCATAGATAAACACAGGGTTTCCAAAATGCTGAAAAGAAAAACTAGAAAATAGCAGGGATGTATAACCAAAGAAGGAAACAAGAAGTTGGCAGAAACTAAAGCACAGAATGAGTTGAGATTTAACATACCATTACATAATCGTGCAAATATACCAATTATATGCTTGGGTCAGAACATTTGACACATGTATGTAAATTCCAGCATTTGAGTGTTTATATAATTATACAAGGCATCATTCCCTTTGCCCATCCCTTCAGATGTGAGAATGACCTTGGGAGACAGGAGGGAGCTGTAAATGGGACAACTGGCATGTAAAAGATGTCTCCAGTTTTCTGGAGAATAAAAGACAGGAGAAATCCCAAGATTCTGTTTAATGTAACCTTACAATATAGTGCTAGTACTCTCCTGGTTGTGCTTTTGGTCTGGACTACCTTGCCGGACTTATAGATGCCCATGCCAACTGGGGCTTGTCACAAATAAGTCACACTAACCATATCTTCTTTTTTGACAGAGTTACCAGGAAAACACAATGGACATAGAATATTTTGACCTCTGCAAACCTTTTCGGTTAGTCATTCTCTCTCTTAACTCTAGCTACAGGGCAATAGGAAATCATTTCTGAAGCCATTGCAAGAAAACTGCATGGTCTTGTCCATGTCCTAACCAGGAATCAACTCTGATACACCAAAAAAAGAGAGATGATATAATTGTATTGGCTAAATGATTGCACCTAGAGCGTACTCATAAATTGTTCCATATAACTTCAAAAGTTGTATCAAATAGAGCATCACAAGACAAAATGCTGGAACTTGTGTTGTTTAACATTTCTATTGATGACCTGGATGAAGAGACAGACTGATGAAATGATTATCAAAATAGCAAGATAAGATTCATACAGATCTAGACAGATTTCAGCAGTGGGCCAAAATGAATAAAATGATATTTAACAGGGATAATATAAAGTTCTTCCTCTGGGGGGGGGGAATGAAAGGCACAAGTATATGAGAGAGACCTGGTTTGGCAGAAAAAACTTGGGGAAAGAATCTAGTCACTGTAATAAATAACAAGTTGAATTGGATGAACAGTGTGAGCATTGAGTCCACATCGTAATTGTCTCATTTGGTTCTGCCTTGGAATAGTGTTTGGAATAGTGTTTCTAGTTCTTGGCACCACAGTTCTCAATAGTGAAAACACCAAAACAAAAATTGGAGTTTAGAGAACAATACCAAAATAGTGAGGAGACCAGAAACCAAGTCCTATGAAGAACAGTTAGAGGAACTAGAAATATTGGTCTGAAGAAAAGACTGAGAAGAGATGCAATAGCAATCTTCAGGTATTCAGATGTCTGTCAAAAGGAGAGAAGGCATAATCAGACAGGACCAGAACCCAGTGAGCTGAAACAACAGGGAAGTATATTTCATGTTAAATATTAGAGTGATTTTCCTGCTGGTAATAACTGTCAATCAATGGAATAATTTAGCAACTACAAATAGCCATTTGTCCAAAATGCTTTAAGTGGTTCTGCACTGAGCAGGGAATTTCACTGGATGATTTAAGTTCTTTCCAATTCTTGATGCTATGAATAGACATATTGGTGCCTATGCTAGGTGCTCCCAAGATATTAATATATGGAGTAATACTATATTAATCCTGTTTATGACTGGATCTGCTGGAGTTACATTTAATTACTGGGGAGAGGGGAAGTTAAATTATTGGAGCATGTCACCTGTTTTGGTACTTCCCCGATTAATTAAGTTAAGTGGATTGCAAGATCATGGTCGTAGAATCACACATCAGTTTTACACACACACAGTGTTATGTATTCTAGTCAAAAACTTTGTTACATACCAAGTTTGAATGATTCCTTCTATTATTAATTTTGTATTAGCATGCATCTTCCATTAACAATAGTCTCTCATTTACATGGATAGTTTATTGGCTGATGCTATTAATCCCCTTTTCCACATCCAAAAACTGATGAAATGGATCAAAGGAAGTGACTCCACAAACTTATAATGAATTAAGGTCTCTGCATTTTTAATTATTGTGCTACATACACCAGTATGCCAAAAAACCAGTTTCAGTATTTTCCACTCCCCATTGTCTGTAAACTTTTTTAATGGGCAAGTTATGTTACATTGAAACCAGCTTTTTTTATTTTTTAAGAACACCTTTGGAACCATATCAGGACCAGAGATATTAGAAGCAACAGCAGTGAAAATTGTACTAAAGTTTAGATAAATGGCAAATTGTGACTTATTTGGAATAGAATCTATTTTTGTTTAAAAGCAAATGGGGGCAGGGATTGTTGAATGTGTAGTATTACTGCATTTCTGAAATCACTGATTCACCATAAATTTGTGTGAATCATACTATGTATGTCAAAATGATTTCAATACTTTTTAAATAAGATCTTTTAAATAAGATCTTCATGGAAGATCCATAGAAGCCATTTTTTGTATACAACTTGTTTTATTCTTCTAATAGAACCAAGGTCCCCAGTGTTTGTCATGAGACTGATGTCTGCGGTTTTCCTGTTCCTTTTGCTCCATCCTACAACTCTGATAAAACTTTAAAAACAAAAATGACACGTAAATCAAAAGATGTACATTGTTGCTCAGAAAGGAGCAAAAATGAGCAGGGTAGTAGGGAAAGGAGCAAGTAATGCTGTGTGAGATGCTTCCTAAATGGTTGCATTTTCCATTGAGTAGGCATTTTGCTTAAGTGCTCATTTGTTCTTACAGTTCTATTTAAACAAATATTCTTAGCCTTTTTGACCCAGTAAGACAGTGTTTCCCAAACTTGACAATTTTAAGGCATGAGGACTTCAACTCCCAGAATTCCACAGCCAGCGTTGCTGGCTGTGGAATTCTGGGAGTTGAAGTCCTCATGCCTTAAAATTGTCAAGTTTGGGAAACACTGCAATAAGATAAAGAAACATCTCTGTTCCTGATATGGTTCCAAAGGCTTTCTTAAAAATAAAAATACTAACATCAACTAACATTTTAATTTACCTTCCTATCCATTAAAAAAGTTTAGAACATGGGGTAGAAAGTACTGCACGCAGTGTTTTGGCTTACCTGTGTTTCGTACTTAGCAATATGGTGTAACTATTTTCTGAGACATATAACTAATTTAGAAGAAACCATGTGCCCATTGATCCAGAAAATTTTAGAGAAATTTCCTTTGGAACACAGTCCAAGTGAAAACAAAATGCATCACTCACACTCAGTCTTTCCTGAGAACCTGTAGTTATTGGTTCAACCTTTCGACTTAAGAAACGGCCACCAATCATTTTTACTTCTTGGTCTTACTGTATTGTGGTCTAGAAGCAGATTTTTTTTGTGTGTTTTGCGGAAGAATAATATCCGCTCCCAACCTGGTGGTGTGCCTAATTGATGTGATGTCCATCTTGTAAAGAAAGGGGTACACACGTGCCCTTGACTCATCTTCAAGCTACTAGGCAATATCACAATCACAACTGTGATGCTATGTATTCACTTCCTATCAGTAAAGGCAGCTTTAATGACTAACCCATATCAGTTCGTTTTCATTACACAACTAGGCATCAATACAGGATTTGCTTGGCTCTCACCCTCCTGACCTCCCTCAAGAGCCTGAAGACCTGGTTCTATCAGTTGGCCTGGGGCCCCAATGGAGGAATATCACACAGGATCATCTCATAGAAGTTGCCACCTCCCCCTGTATATTTTCATTTTAATGTTGTAAACCACCCAATCACCTTGTGGTGACATGGACAGCAAACAAATTTAATAAATACATGTATATATTTCTCATTTCATTACACCAGTTCGTTTTAGACAATGAGTGTTAGGCAATTGTACAAAAAAGATTTAAATTAAGGATGCTTTCAGAAATAGAAGTGTTAATAGTTTATTTTTAACAATTAACAAAATGGAAAGTAAATGAACAGAAGAGAAATCCAAATCAAATCAATATTTGGTGTGACCACCCTTTACCTTCAAAACAGCATCAATTCTCCTAGGTACATTTGCAGTTTTTGAAGCAATTCAGCAAGGTTCTTTCAAGGACAACCACGTATCTTCTGTGAATGTAGGCTGCCTCAAATCCCTCTGTCTCTTCATGTACTCTCAAACAGACTCAACGATCAGGGCTCTGTAGGGCCAAACCATCACTTCCAGAACTTGTTCTTCTTTACACTGTAGTTCTTAATGACATTGGCTGCATGTTTGGGGTTGTTGTCCTGCTGCAGAATAAATTGGGTGCCAATCACACACTTCCGATGGTATGGCATGATGGATAAGTATCTGCCTGTATTTCTCAGCATTGAGAATACCACTGATCCTGACCAAATCTGCAACTCCATTTGCAGAAATGCAGCCCCAAACTTTCAAGGAACCTCCACCATGCTTCGCAGTTGCCTGCACTCATTATTGTACTGCTCTCCAACTCTTCAGTGAAGCAAGTGTCTCCTGCTAGTCAGATCTTTCAAAATTTTGACTCATCAATTCAGAGCACCTGCTGCCATTTTTCTGCACCCGTTCCCGTTTTCCTTCATAGTTGAGTCGTTTAGTCTCATTTACTTATTGAAGGTATGGCTTTTTGGCAGCAATTCTTCCATGAAAACCAATTCTGGCCAGACTTCTCCAAACAGTAGCTGGGTGTACTGGATCCCACTAGTTTCCAGTTCTGTCCTGATGGCACTGCTGGAAATCTTCCAATGCCCAAGGGAAGTAAGCATGATATGTCTTTCATCTGCTGCATTAAGTTTCCTTTGCTCACCACTACATGTATGGCCTCAGCGTTGCCCGATTCTTTGTACTTTTTCAAAAGACCTTGAACAGCTCATCTTGAAAACTCTGCTTTGCAATCTTTGCCTGGCAGATACTTTATTAATGCATTATAACTACCTTGTGTCTTGTTCCTGGGCTGTTTTGCTATGGTATATGACCTGTGATATGAACACTGCCTTCTAGTAGCAGAGTTTGGCTGTTCCTCACCCAGTTTTAAGCCTCCTACACAGCTGTTTCTGTTAATGACTGTGTTTCAACCTATCTATGGAATTGATGATCATTAGCATCTGCTTGGTACACTTGGTTAATCCACTAATCCTCCAAAATCCCTGACTTTGTACAAGTGAAGAACTGATGCTGGTTTGAGCCAAAAGATAGTCACCCCAAATATTGATTTTAGATTTTTCTTCTGTTTACTCACTTTGCATTTTATAAATTGATAAAAATAAAACAATTAAAATACGTATTTTGAAAGCATTCTTACTTTATAGATTTTTGCACAATTGCCTAAACCCTTTGCACAATACTGTTGATATTATCTGTAATCACTGTACAGATTTCTAGATTTAAAGGGGAAAGGCGATTCAGGGGCGCTTATGCTATACCTGCCTGAAATTCCTTAAAGAAACTGGACCTTTTGCTGGCATTTGATGCATTTAAGGGAATAATAGTTGCAACATGCATGCTCATGCACTTCAAATGACCTTTCACCTTCAAACCTCATTCCTGCACAGCCCATGTCTCCCACGTTTTGTTTTGTAACCCCTGCCGTGCCTTGCTATATATGCCATGCTAGATAGAACTTAGCCAAGTTCATGCCTAGAAGGCACTTTTGCTATGTCTAAACACAGCCTTCATTTAGAGTCTAAAAGGTACAAGGATTAATGTTAGAAGTAGACACATTAAAAACCATGTACAAGCATTCAAAAAATATTTAGGCAATATGAGTTAATTATTTTTTATTGGAAAACAAATATACAACTTGGAATGGATTTGAGGCAAGTTGTGCCATAAGCGGATTCTTTTTAAAATAAGTGGCTGAACAAAAGTTTTTAAAAGCATAGTAACTATAGAAGAAAAATGTCTTCTGGTACATGACCAGGAGTACAAAAAATAGTGTACGAGTACCTGGATAATACACCCGTTTTGCAATAGTGCAAACTTTTTAAAGTTCCATATTGTTGACTGTCCATAGTCCACAGAGTTAAGACTACATTTCAACAACATGCTAAATTTCCTAAAATAACTAATTTCAACAGGCATAACCTAGATGATCCCTCATTTAACCAACACCATCTAACTTTAGAAGTGTGGAAGGGCTTAAATATCCAGAGTAAGCCACATGCAAACATTTGTTACTTTGATCATTTTCCCAAAATATCAGGATGACAGATAAAGGGGAAAACATGGAGGAATGAGTTTGTTACTATACATGCATCTCTCTCAACAGAAGGGAAAAACCTTTTACAGATAAGTTACAAACAGAGAAAAAGGCAAATAAACAATTTGTACAAGAAATTTAACACGTTCTGTGCAGGGTCTTCACTTTGCTGTCATCATTTGTACAAACTCTGTAGAAGAAAAAAGATGGTAATGTTATTCAAATATCTGTGTAAATATTCAAATAAAAAGCAGGCAATCTGCCATATTAGCCAAGAAATTTATATCAGTTTTAGATTACCATTTTGTTTTCTGTATAATATTGGTGCAGTGCTTCTCACCATTTATGAATTTCAAGAGTTGGTTCACTTTAGTAAGGTATTATTTCTAAATAATTATTAATTTTTAATCATTTTTCTTTAGTATTTCATTCCTTTTATTAGTAGTAATTCTTTCTAATATATAAAGAACTCACACAAATTCAGTTGTTCATCAATATTATGACATTCAGCTCTGTCTCTTAAGATACCTAACTAAAATAGTAAGCCTTGTTATGTCCAAAATTTGCTGGTACTCAATGCTTTATCTTTTAAGTGTCACACTAAGATACTTTTTCCACATTCAATTGGCAAAGTTTCTATTTAAGTCATTTAAAAACTACTACACTACCATTGTTTTAATTTAAACATCACAAAGTATTAATATTAAATGGACCTCCTTCATGTTTGCGCTCAATTTTCTACAGATCCATAACCAATTTATCAAAAACTGCTGTCCAATGAAAATTTTTGCTTGAGCAGAGACCTAAATACAGTTCAGCCCCTCAATATAAAACCTATTATTAACCTCAAAGATCTTTGTTCAAGCATAACTGTAAGCAGAGGAAGAAACCAATCTCTTTAATGGTGTTCAATAACTGACTGTCGGAATTTTGCTGATATACTGCAAGCCCTATTGGTATATCTTCTGTCTCATACCAAATAAAAACTAATAATTTTGATCAAATCTAAGTTGTAATGTTATTTCTGGCCAGATAAAAAGACACTAACTTTTCTAGTATAGGAATACAGTAACTTTTATTCAGTAATGGGATTCAAATATCTGAACAATTAGTTCTCTGTGTGGACGCCGCTTCCAGTTTGTTCTGGGCTTGGGTCTCCGAGGCACAGAACGGACTTCCGGAAGTGGTGTCACACACGTCCGGTGGGCTGTTCTGGGCCTGAGAGGTCTCCCCCAGGCCTCCAAAGCTCAGAACGGACCTCTGTAAGTGGTGTCACACACTTCCGGTGGGCTGTTCTGGGCCTGGAAGGCCTCCCCTAGGCCTCTAAAGTTCAGAACAGACTTCCGGAGGTGGCATCCACGCACTTCCAGTGGGCCGTTCTGGGCCTTGTGGGAAAAAAGGCTAGGGCTTCAGTCAGTTTGTCGAAGTCAACAAAAAATTAGCTACCAGTTCTACCAAACTGGTGCGAACCGGCTGAATCCCACCACTGCTTTTATTATCTCAACTTCTATTATCTCAAGCATTATGAAAGCTACCATAATTGGAATATAATCACTCTGACATTGTCAAGTATGAACTGGAAGCTATCTAAAGCTTCACTTCAACATTTATAATAAAACAAAATATTTTTGAAAGAT